CTCCCTTTTCGGTTCTAAAAATCGTTATTAAATAAGAAGAGTATTAATCAACTAATCTAGAATCCACAAAACCCTAACTCGAAAAAACAATATCCAACTGTTTTCAATCGCAAGATCAAAGTGTCATCCTTCAATTATATCAATCAATCAAGCAAGAATTCATCAATTCCTAATCAAATCAACTCACACAAGAACGAACAAATCAAAGCCCGAAAAATACGAATGAACGAGAACAATTATCCTCTATCTCTAGCAAGCGGAATTAACTATGTGTATCACATTCAACAAAATCAATCTCAACAATCCAACCAATCATATTCACGATTTAAATGAATATGAAAACTTACGATTAAAAAGGAATTGTTAATTGAATCTGAGATACAAGATTAATTTGATAGCAATGAAGAAATAAAGGTGCAAACCAAGATGAATTTTGTGTTCTGAGATGAAAATTATGAAGAAAACAAGTTTTTTGGATCACTGGGATGTTAGGTTTTTATCCCCTGGAGGAGAGATATCTAGTTTCTGTCGACGCCCCACATATATATAGAGGAAAGAAAGTTTCCGCGGCGTGGAGGAACCAACGCGGCACAGAGCGCGCCTGTGTCGTGGCGTGGAGGGCTGCCGCGGCGCGGAGAGCTGTTATGCTGCACTCTCAGATGGTGTGTGGCGGGCGCCGCGTATTGGGTTGCGGCATGGAGCTAACAGACTGTTTCAATGTGGAGGAGGTTACACGGTGTGGAGTGAGCAGGCGTCGCGGCGCAGAGGAGGTTGCGCGACGCGGAGTGAGTAGGTCGGTATTCTGAAGCCTCGTGAGCGCGCGCTGTGCCGCAGCGTGACGTTGGCAGGGTACTGCGTCGTGAAAGTCTCCGCGAGCATGGCGCCTGGAGATCTGAGCTCTCTGTTGGCGCATGGCGGGTGCCGCGGGCCGTGCCGCAGCGCGGGGCCTGGGAGCTCGTGCCTAATTGCATCACTTCGCGTCTCGGGTTGGTTCGAGATCGTCTGGACCCATAATTTGATTTCGTTTTTTCCTGCTCGTCGCCAACGAAAATTTATAATTAATTAGCTTGCATGGTCAATTTTTTCCTGAATTTCGGTCCTTCGAACTAGACACCATTAACGAAAACCAAAACAGAGAAAATCGAAAAAAAAAAACACACTAAAAACACATAGAAAGGCAAAATAAAAGAAAACACACCAAAACTACAAAAGCAAACTAAAAAACAATGAAATGACTTAAATGGGGGGAAAAAGAAAGACAAAACAATAACGCAAAACGCAACAAAAAGAGACAAACAAGATTAAGAACCATGTGGCACAACTGCCTACGACAATGGGAGCTCAATTAAAAATTTTGGAGACTCAAATGGGCAACTGGCCAAGGCCGTGGGAAGCCAGCACCAAAGGGGTCAATTTCCTAGCAATATCGAGTTGAACCCACATGAGCAATGTCATGCCATCTATCTACGAAGTGAAAACTAGTTCGAAGGCCCAAATATGTCAGAGAAGAAGATTGGGTTGATCAAGAATAGCAAAATTCAATACCAAAGAGAGAAAAAAAAAGGAGAAATTTTGTGATGAGTTAAAGAATGAACCAAATGTGATAACGACGTCAAGGCATGAGATTACATTTAATTCTAACTTCGGCTCTTCTAAACTTTCTATCCCTTTTACTGTTTTATCAACGACTGTCAAATAAGAGGGAGATTGAGGAACATGAGATGGTGACCTTCACGGAAGAGTGTATTGCGATCTCCAATGCACGATTCCTTAAAAATCTTAAGGTCCTCGAGAGCTTTACGATTCGTTGCGCTATCGGGAATATGTTTTTTAGCAAAGCTTTATATGATCTTGGTGCAAGTATAATCATATGCCTTTATCAATTTTTAGGAAGCTAGGATTGGAAGATGTGAAGCCATCCATAGTAAACATACGATTAGCGAATCGCCCAATAACATACCTTGAGGATGTGCTCGTCAAGATTGATAAATTCATTTTCCAGTGGATTTTATCGTATTGGACGTAGAGGAAGATAATGAAGTTCCATTGATTCTAGGGCGACTGTTTTCAGCAACGAGAGACGCCTTGATTGACCTCAAAATGGGAGAACTTAGTTGCGTGTTAATGATGAGAATGTTTCATTTTCAATACATAAGACTATATTTCATGATAATAATGTTCATAGTAACTTTATTGATACTATTGATTTAGATTATGTGATCAAGTCGAGAGATATCACGAAGTCAGAGAGCAAAATGATAAAAAAAAAAAATGAAGTTGAAGATAAGCACTAAAGAGGTGGCACGGACGACGACACAGGCAATATGCCCGTGTCAGGTGACCATGTCAGAGACCTAGGAGAAGCTCAAATATTTGGGATGCAACACGGTCAGCGACACAGCCCGTATCAAATGCCCGTGTCAGAAATGTAGTCACGAATTTTAGAGTTTAATATACGACACAGTCACGATTTTTCACCACGGTCCGTGTCGATGGCCGTGTCAGATGTTCTGTCAATGCCTATTTCATCCTAATTGAGATTTTCGAAGTTAAAACAACCCATTTTGGATCTAAAGAGTCTGTCAGTATGAATATGGGGGTGGTACTCTTATGTCTTTGGTGAGCAATGTGAAGCTTTTCAAGCTTAATGAGTTGGACGAGCGAGATGTTTGCAATGACAGTCTGGGAACTTATAAGAAAAAGAAGAAGAATCGGCATGATGACAAGCTTTACAAAAAAGAACATACCCGGGGATCAAAATGATTTTTCAATGGTTAAAGTTGAAATTTTTTAGGGTGTTCGTGATCAAGAAGGTATGGCCACCGACAGCGCTAAGTTCAAGCAAGAAAATGTTTTACTGTATAAATTGTTTGGGAAAACAACAATTGGACTCGGGAAAAATCCAATGTCATTTTCTTCTCATGTTTTTGGGTTTCTTCTTATGGACATTATTCATAAACGACGCCGCAAGCCTCAAATTTTGGTGACTGTTGACCCAACCTATAATCCCTACAAGAACGCTAAGATCCAAAGGGCAATGAGGACTAGATACGATAAGCTCGATCACCACCTCTCCTTGAATCTGATACTTACGATTGTCAGACTACCAGTTGCACCACTCAAATTCAATGTCTTTGATTGGTGGTAAAAAATGAGTACAGTTTATCATGATCCATTCTTGATGGCCAGAGAGAATTTTGTTGTCCCAGCCTCAACAGTGGTGGCGGTTGAACAAACATTTAGTGATGGATGATATACACTGAATGCACAATGGCCGAGGTTGACACCACAAAACTATGAAGTTCAAATGATGTTGACTGATTGGAATAAGGTAGAATGGAGGGTACAAACGGTCATGCTAACTAGCGCAGAGAGATGACGAAGAAGAGACATTCAATAATACTAGTACGGTTGGAACTGTCGGAACCGAAGTCAACTACGAGACCTACGATTTCTAGAGCGTTCAACGCATTTCGCCATCTTCTTTCATCAAAGTAAGTAAAGTAAAAGAAATACGAGGAGTTTGATTCCCAAGGTAAGAGATAACATACAACTTAACTGACATGTTATAAGTGAAAATATTATTATTTAATCAAAAAATTCTTCAACTTAATTAATATTTTAAGTTATAATATGTCAAGTAAGTTTAAGTCTAATTTTTATAAAACCTTCCCCCTCTATTTTTTTTTCTTAAAAAAATTATTAGAACTGGTTCAACCATGAATCGGCCCAGAACCGGTGGGCCGGTTCTGAATCGTGAATCGCCGATTCATTAAACCAGATTGTATATATTATCGGGCCGGTTCAGGTTCACGAAACAAGCGGTTCGGAACCGGAAAATGGCCACGTCCATTTGGTTGCATATCATTATTTCTTCCCACAAGAGCAAACCCCACGATTGTTTTTAAGTAATCTAGCTTTAAAAAAAGGAACATATTTTTATTATTATGAAGCTTCAACGGTCTCTCATTGTGCACTCTGTATTTATTTAATAAATGTGGAGCATATAATTAATATCGCAGATTCTTGTAAGGAACAAAACAATAAAGCCCGCGTACCAAACATCAAAAGGCATTGGAAATTTTTGGAACATTTGAATAGTCAAGCGAATTATTGTTTCATGGGTTATAAAAATCAATATGCAAGACATAGCTAAATAGAATTTGAGCATGTTAAAATTTAATAAATTGTGTTAGTTAGTTGTACTTTTTCCTTTTAACAAAATAATGCATGTTTATATTATGAAATGTGCAATTTTTATTTTTATTATATTTCAAGATGTGACATTGGAATATAAAAATATTTACATTTATTAGAATATAATTATCGTCTAACCATTGGTCAGTTTAACATACCGTTTAAATGATATTTCAGATGATATATTAATATTAGGGTAGTTTCCTAAAATTGTAATAATTAATCTAACAATACTCAATTTGTGTGGTATGTATATAGTATCAGCTATATTAATAGAGTAGCCAATACTTTTTTTCCCACATAATTAATTTTTGTGCTCATATAGAAAAACCTATCAAATTAGATATATAGATTTTGAGTTTTTGACCTTGCAAATAATAAAATTAGGCTTTCACACAGAATTTTGAATGTGTAACCTTCCAAAATGTACTTAAAGGCCAGTTTTCGCAAAAAATGAAAAATAAAAAACTAAAAGAAATGTATTATTTTGGTTACCTAATTTTTAAATGTGAAATCCTAAACAAAATTAGGGACATGCTATTCAACTTTGTCATTAGAACATTTACACTAAAAGTGGGAAAAATTATATTTTCAAAGAATATTGGAATATCTTGCCTTTAAGCAACCTTTGTTCCAAGCAATTCTAAAACTCCCTCTTTTTTTTTTTTTTTTTTTTTTTTTTTTTTTTTTTTCCACAAAGCCAACAAAAGAGAGCCTCATATATATATCACAATTGCTCCATCTTAAACTTGGTTCTTATTTTCTTTTTCTTCCGCCTCCTTCTCATAAAAACCCAAGAAACGATGGTGGTTACACACGCCGATCTTGCTCCGAGCCCGAAAGGCAGTGATCTCGGCAGCAAAACCGGCGCGTTTATCATTGTATTTTCCATAGTTCTTGGCCTTTTCTGCTTCATCCTCTCTCTTATAGCCGAGGCAACTCGTTCTGAGGTAAAAAAAAATGACAATAATGATACAAATTTTCGAAATCGATTCGTATTTTTGCATGCCGTAGAGCCTCAACTAGGACATCGATAACTGGACGTAGGGGTAGATTCATTATTAGACACGGCGCATTTTAGTTCGAATTTACGAATACGTGATGACCGATGGGTGATAAACTAACATTGCTATATGCTTTTGGACCCTATATTTGGGCAGGTGAATTGGGCAATAACAAATGGTGATGGTAAAGGAATAGAGTCTCAATGCACGTACACGGGCAGCGGGAAACTGCCCCTTTTGTCTGGGGCCGCAGCGTTTTTTGCTCTGGCGGTAGCAATGGCGGTGTATCACACGTATTTATTGGTTGCGGTTAGCAAGTCAGATGCGTTGGTCGAGGTAGCATGGGACCCGGATTCGGCTATTGCCAGGTCTCTGACCTGGCAAGCTGGATTTTTCTTCGTGTCGACATGGTATGCTATGCTATTGAAAGTTAAAACACGAGAATTACTTTTTTGAATTTTTTTATTATTAATTTCTTCCCTAATGTTCTATTTGTATGTTGAAATTAGAGGTGTAAATAAGCCGAGCTCAAGCTTTACATATTTATCAATTTTAACGAGATGAACTCGAGACTTAAAGAATCGAACCGTAGAAATTACACAAATATATATATGTATTTTCGATGCTCAACTTGTTAAGTAAACGAGATCAACCAATTTGATTCAAACAAGCCGAGTCGAGCCAAGCTCAATGTTTAATGATCGAGTCGAGTACACGAGCGACTAGTATGTTAAATGATCGAGTCGAGTACACGAGCGACTAGTATGTTTAACAGCCCTTGGTGAAATTAAAATTCGAGAAATTGGTTTGAAGTGTTATTAGGGCGATTTTTTTTGTCCTTTCCTATGTTAGTGAAATAATAATTCTAGTTTCATATGGACCTAATTATATAATGTAATATTTCCCTTTCAAAATAAATGTCTGTTGATTAATGTACTAACTATGAAATATGATTGAAATGTGAAAAGAAAATGATTGTTAGTATAAAAATAAATAAACTATTAAAATAAAAATTTGTCATAAATAAAATTGTGCAAGGCCTGAATTGTAACTTCTCTTTCAGAAACATACCAATAAATTTGATTTATATTTGATTAGTCTAAATTTATCTTTAAGACTATTGTTCATATATCCAAGATCATAAACACCCTTAAATATACACTTTAAATCCAGGGTGTCATTCGCTGTGGGGGAAGTCCTGCTACTTATTGGGCTAAGCATGGAGTCTGGCCATCTCAACAACTGGGCCGCACTCCGGCCCAATTGTCTGGTAAACAAACAGGGCCTATTCGCCGCAGGTGGAGTATGCGGCCTGGTGGCAGTTTTTCTCGCGGCCGGCCTTTACATAACGGCGCTACGGGTGGAGATGCATTTTCTCGAGCGAGAAAATACGAGGCGCGAGATATTGGAGGCGTCCGCCATGTATGCAACCCCGCCGAGAACGCCGGTCGGAGCAAACGCGGGCGGCGGGAGTGGGCACGGTGACGGCCCACAAGAATGTCGGAACAACAATTTGGATGTATTGTATTATTATTATTATTACTCGGCGGTGTTTGATAAACAATATAATATAGTTTGAGGGGTCGAAATGAGAAGTGTACAAAGTTATTTGTGAAAGAGGGAACTATTTGAGCATACATTTTGACTTTTTTTTTTTTTCCAAAATAATAATTTCTTTCTCATATCTCAAATTCGATACACATTGAGGAGTACGTAATTGGCCGAGTTGAGTCGAGCACTTCGTATTTAAGCCTGTGCCCGATTAATAAATGAGCACTTCATATCTCAAATTCGATACACCATTCTGAATTTTTGATAATAATGTCAGTGACAATGATTATGTTGAGAGAATTAAACTCCAAGATTACCATGTGAACCAAGAAATTAAGAGCATGCAATAATAATTAAAAAATTTCAGACATATGAAGCTATGCAAATTTGAATACACACTAATTTTTCCTCACAGCCCTAATAATTTTCAATAATCATAATTAATTAACATAACAAAGAGATCAAACGACGACCCAACTCACCAATAAGTCAAGAACACAATGGCAGTGAGTGAAACTCCATAAATACCCTAACATTTCTCGGGGCGCCTGTTGATCATCAGGGGCATTCCGGTAAATCAGCTAAGAAAATAAAAACACTAGAAAAAGACGAAAGGAAATAAATTAAAAGGCACGGTGACGACGATAGCCAAGAAATTAGGTAACCGAACTCTCTCCAGCGGCGGCGCCGATGAGGACGGCGGCGGTGGAGGGCTGCGGTAGTAGAAAGGGAAGTAGGGCCACATTGGATCCGGCGGCGGCGGGGCCGTCCCGGCGGCGTACGGTGGGGGAGGGGGGTTGTAGTAGGCGGCTCCGCCGTCGGGCGGCGGCGGCGGCGGGGCGTAGTATGAATCCGGAGGCGGCGGTTGGATGTTGCCTCCGCCGGATCCGGACGGGGGCGGAGGGCAGTTGACGGAGGCGGTGGCCGCCGCCGGCGGCGGCGGCGGGGAGGGGGTGGTGCATGGGTTATCGCAAGAGGAGCACGTCGTGCATTCGATCTGGTACTTTGATCCGCCGCGCATTTTTGGAATTTTTGCAGCTAAAAGAACATTTCTTGATGCGAATATTAGTAGTAGAAACAAGAATTTGAGCCCATGATGAGAATTTATATCCATATATTTTTTAAAATTATATGCGTGTTTATGTAAATATGAGAGATGAAGGTGTCTAGAGAGAGAATTTAGTTGGGATCGAGAATGAATTTTGAAAATGAAAATCTAGGACACTTGTAATAAGTAGTTGAGACTAATTGGGGGTAGGGTGGACTATAGAAATTTTATGGAGTCATCGACGGTTTTTTTTATGTAGTCACTCATCACTTAATTGTATTGACATCTGTCGAAAGTATATTTATTGTAGGACACTTGTCAATTTACTATTTGTAAATAAGTGTGGCTGGCTCCATAAATCGTGTCATCCGATAACTCCATAACAAAACCGGATTGGACTAAGTTCCTTCACTAGGTCTTTTTTATCGTTCTAAAAGGAAAGCTATTCAGTGAGGGTAAGATAGCACGAATTTTCTTAATTAAGAGATAGCATTATGTCCTTTTTAGTAAGTTTTGCCTAGGTTTTCTATCGGTAGAAGGTAAGCGAAAAAAAATTTCGCGGTGAAGGTAAAGTAGCACGATTTTTTTTACTAACTATGAAATGCATTGTCCTTTATAGTAAGTTCGAAGTACTGCAATCGTTAATTTTTTTATCGTTAAATCAATACATATATACATACAATCACACTTTGTCTATTGATATAATCATATAATAGTAAAAAAAACTCAATAATTGTCGTTTGAAATGTTTTGTCTTTTATGATGTAATGAATGTTTGGAGTGAGTGAGGAGGAGAATTACGTTTAAAAACGAAGATGATTAAATTAAATAATTGAGTGGTTGTATTCTTTTATATTTTTTTAATAACAATATAATACTTTTTATTATAGTAATTAATTCATGAAAGGTTCTTTTGCATATACTTTTTTAATACTTTTTGGCTGTAGTGTTTTTTTGGGTTTGCAAAAGGTGAACGCCAACACGTTTTACTTTTCTACTTTCAATGGCTAACACGGAATGGGAAGATCTGTGTCAAAACATAGTGAAGTTACATAAATAGAAATGATAATAAGATACTTGATATACAGTTCATCGAACCAATTATATGATTGTATAATGATTAGGGGCGAGTAAGGTCGAACTCGAACTCATGGTGTTCGAACTTGAGCTTTTAATGGGCTGACTTCGGCTCAGCTCGGCTCGTTAACTAAACGAGTTAATAATTCAGTTCGAGTTCGACTTATTTATCAATATTAATGTATTCTCTTGAACCTCAATGAAATGAGCTTTAAAAAATTATGTACAAATTTATCTTTCGGGACTTAATGAATAGCGAGTCGCGCGAGCCCCCATTTTTAACAATGAATGAGCTTTAAAGAACTCAGCTCGACTCGATTCATTTAATAGTTCTATTAAGTAATAACGATATGCAATTGAATCTTATACAATGATATTCAACCAATGCAGTGTCCCTCAGGCCCAACATAGGATGTAACAAGTCGAGTCAAGCTAAGTTTGATAAGCTATTCGCACCCGAACCCGATCCTCCTCTCGTTCGATTGCGCTTTGATGACCTGCAAAGACGCCGTGAAGTGGTCTCAACGTAAAACCTCCGACGCTCAAATCAGTAAAGGCTTTAGGAAGATGGTAATCAAAGTGTGTAAAGCTTATGATAATGTATATGCTTGTTTATGCTTTTTATAAAGAAATATAAAGCTTGTTGGGCAAGTCTCGTCCTGCCCGACGATTATTTTCATCTGCCCGGAATATTTATGCCTTCTTTACACGTGTCCCTGGGGAACAAGCTTATATAGACCTCTTCCAAAGATTCATTTTGCTCTTTAATTCATATTTAATCCCCAAATATCCTAAGTCCTAAGAGGTCCCTCTGTTGTCCTCTTCATGGGTTCATGGATAGATCCACCATCAATAGATCCCCTTAGGTCAATCACTAGATCCACCTCTAGGTCCATCACAAGTAGGTCTATCGAGGGTAAGTTCATCCCCAGTAAATCCATAAATAGGTCCATCTCAAATAGGCCCATCACATATAGGTTCATCTCAAGTATGTCAATCACATGTTGACTAGGTCCATCATATGTAGGTCCATTATAAGTAGGCCCATCACACGTTGACCCTAACTAATATATATGTCATATCAAAGTTCGAAATCGTTATAGATAAACAAGCTCGAGTTTGACTCATTTATCGCTATTAAAGAACCGTGTTCGAGTCTAATCGAGCCAAGTTATAGAAAGTTAAAGAAAAAAATTATTTTTGAACCTTAACAAACCAAGAAGTTAACAAGTCGAAAGTTCATATTTACAAGCCTTGACGAGCTGAGTCGGCTTGTTCGTCGAATGAGTCGAGCCAAGCCAAGCCCACGAGCATCTTGTTTTGTTTAACAACCTTATGCACTACGTACTATGTTAAAAATGTTTCTTTGAAGTGTTTGTGAATGTCCAAGACTTCAAATACACAAGACTTCAACCAACAATACCTAAGTTTTAGAATTCACAAGATAAAAACGAACACAATAAACACAATATGTTTTATAAACTTTATAAATAATGCAAAAATGAAATCTTAAAATATAATATATAAAATATTTCACGTTGTGTGTTGTTTATAGATTTTCTTGATAGCTACAAGGGGTTTTGTGTCAAAAAAACACCTTGTGGTATGTGGCCCATCGTCAAAAACTGAAATAGAACCTTTTCGACACGAGTAGGTGCATCCGAGACGCCAGTTCATCATGCCCAACTGATAGTTACTTCCAGCCCTTGCGTATGTATGCCGCAAGCCTTTACGTGCTCGTCCGCACTCCAAATTGTATCTACGTTTTCCTACTCATCCCCAAGAAACCCTTTTAGAATTCCAATATGCTTAGTGCATGATTCTTACTAGTTTAGCTTGTCCAAACATTCATTAAAGACAGAATGTCTGCGAATTCAATAATCTTTGAGTTACTTAAACTAAATTTTGAATTATATAAACTCAACTTTCCCTTAAAATAGTTTTAAAAAATTTCTAAGTTTCTAATTTTGAGAAAAGAAACCTTAAAATATGTAAAAAAAAAAAAAAAAAAAAAAAAAANNNNAAAAAAAAAAAAAAAAAAAAAAAAACAATTTTCTTACAAAGAAAATAAAAATATTTATAAAAAATAATATATTAAATTATAAGTTATATGGTAAAACAACATAAAAAAGTTGCAAAAATTTATATTTCAACAATGGTATTCAAACGAAATTATATAAAAGGTTATTAAAATAGTTTCGGAAATATAATGCAATGGGAGCGACGGTAGTAGGTAATTTAGAATAGGGAAAAATGACGTTTAATTTCTCTAACTATATCTATTTTTCCCTGATATGCTAACAATCCACTTAATCAGTTTATGTACCCTATCTACGGCTAGTCATTGTCATGGGCCAGCCTGGCCGACTAGTTCGACCCGTGGTCAACGGGCCCAGACCCATTGTTATCAACCTGTAGTCCAGTATTATGATACCATCTTATACCAGTGCTGTTATCATTCACGGAACACGTCGCCTGACCACCCTTTCGCCAGGAAGACTTTTAATACAAGGCATACGGATCCATCGGCCCTCCACCGGCTCCACAAGCCATGTCATCACACTAAAAAAAAAAAACTATACATTCCAACGGAAATTTTCCGTTGGAATTCTTTATATTTTCCGTTGGAATAACTATCCAACGGATATTCCTACGTAAAAAAATTCGTGGGAAAAACGACCGTTGGAATAACTAAAATCCAACGGAAAATCCTATGGAAATAAATTCCTACAACTATTCCAACGGGAAAAATCTGTTGGAATTCATCAACCATCCAACACTTATTCCAACATAAAATTAAGTTTGTTGGAATATTCATTGGAATTTCCATCGGAAATTTTTGCCGTTGGAATTGAAGTGTTTTCTAGTAGTGTCAACATTGCAACTGATCAGCTACCAACCGT